TATGATAGTTTACCGCTTGTCCTGACAACTTCTCATATGCCGTTAGGCATCCTTTTATCACACTTGCTTCCTGCAAATTGGCTTTAAAGAACAACAAACTGTCATCCGCAAAGAAGAGATGGGATATTGGGGGAGCTCCCCGAGCCACTCTACATCCATGAATACTATTATTCAATTGTGCCTGTTGCAACATCATAGAGAGTCCCTCTGCACAGATAATAAATAGATACGGAGACAATGGGTCCCCCTGCCTCAATCCACGAGTAGGTGTAACTGAATCAGTACGAGAGCCATTAATTAAAAATCTGTACGATACAGTAGACACGCATAACATAATTAAATCCACCCATTTTTTTATCAAAACCCATGGCCACAAGCATCCCATGTAAGAACGACCACTCCATTCGATCATATGCCTTTTCCATATCTAATTTTAGTGCAGCCCATCCAACAACACCACACTGTTTCCTGTGCAAATAATGGCCAACCTCCGATGCTATCAAGATATTATCCGTTATAAGCCTATCGGGTATAAACGCACTCTGGGAATCCGATATAATCTCATCCATCAAGGGTTTCATTCTATTAGTCATTACCTTTGCCATTACCCTATATATCACATTGCTCAACGCAATTGGCCTAAGATCAGATACTCGTTCCGGGTTTTGCTTTTTCGGGATCAATACCACATCTGTTTCATTCAGAGTTGCTGGGAAGCTACAATTATTCAAACAATTGACTATAAAGGATGACATATCCCCCCCTACCACATCCCAAAAATGTTGATAGAAGCCAGGATTCATTCCATCCGGGTCTGGTGCCTTGTCAGGATACATAGAAAAGAGAGCAGTTTTGACCTCATCGTTAGTGAACGGCCGGACTAAAGATTCATTTTGTGCCAGAGTGACACGCGGGGCAATACTATTAAAGAAATTTTCCCCATTCTCCGGGTTTCCCGAGGCAAAAATATCTTGGAAGTACTGTAAAACAATCCCCCTCATAGGCTCACCTTCCACCCAATCCCCATTATCATTCATAAGCTTATCAACATTATTTTTCTTTCTACGATGAGAGGCATACTTGTGAAAGAATTTTGTATTGGCATCGGCACCCTTGAGCCAGTGTTGCTTAGCTCGTTGTCTCCAGAATGCATCCTCCTGCGTCTCTGTTCGGCATAATCGTTCCTCCAAAGACCGGAATTCAGCTAACGAGGCTGGATCCGTTTTTCCTCTCAGACGCAGCTGCTCTTTCCGCAAACTCATAATTTTCTCTCCAAACATATGAAACCTGTCACCCCCCCACCGAGATAGCCGAGAGCCACAGAATTTTATGCAATCCTGCAGTCCACGGTCCTTTCCTTCATCCCATGCTTTTTCCACAACACTCCGGCATCCCTCATCATATAACCATGCATTCTCAAAACGGAAACCCCTCCTACTAGCCCCACCCCTCCCTACGGAGTCATGGATGCTTAGAAAGAGAGCCGAATGATCCGACTTGCGGGTTAAAAGATTAGATACTCTGGCTCCTGCAACAATCTCGCGCCACTCATCCGAGACCAACACTTTATCCAAACGTTCCTCTATCCAGTCAGCCGTTCCTTTTCCCCTCTCCCATGTAAACGGATATCCCTGCATAGCCATCTGAGATAGGCCACACTCCTCAATAGTATCCCCAAAACCGCGTAGGAGCCTATCAGGGTGTGGGTTTCCTCCTCGTTTCTCGTGCTGAAAAAGAAGGTCATTAAAATCCCCAACTACTACCCAAGGCAGGTTAGACTTGGTAGCCAAAGATCGTAACTTTCCCCATGATTCCTCACGTCTGGGTCGTTGTGCCAACCCATAAAAACCAGTCATTCGCCATTTAGGAAAGCCATGCATACTGACCTCAATATCCACATGATTATCCGAATAGCTGAGCAGACTAGCTGTATTATTTCTTCGCCACAACAACGCTATACCACCCTTCACACCATCACTATCCACACAGAAAAGACCATCAAAACCTAACTTGACTCGTAAACGTTCAGCATGTGACCGATCAACCATAGTTTCCATCAAAAAAATAAAGTCGGGTTTCTTACGGGACGCAAAGTCCAGAACTTCACGAACTGTCCGTGGATTACCCAAGCCACGACAGTTCCAACTAAGGGTACTCATTGGGTCGGGCGGGTCTGGGAACCAGAACCCGCCTGCTGCAAGTTTTTTGACTGCTCTGCCATAACAACATCTTCCTCCACACTTCCCCGCCCCCCATCATCCGTCATCTCACGGCGCCGCTTAGACACGGCCACCAGCTCTGCCTCCCTGGCGTTACCGGCCCGGCTAGCTTCCACCGGCGCTGCACCACCCGACGCCACATCCGCCGTCTGCCTCGCCACCATCTGTCGGCCGGTTGGTAATAACCAGCTCCCACCGACCGGTCGAGGACCCCGAGATCCCCCCGCCTTCAGTTCCGGCCCATACAAATATTCCTCCACCGGTAGAGCCGAATCCCTCGCTCCCCGACAGAATTTGTATGAATGTCCCAAAAGTCCACAAAAATAGCAATATGTGTGCAGGCGTTCATACTTGAAATTCACCCAGCAACTCGTCTTATCCCTTTTAATAAAATTCATACGCCTCCTCAACGGTTTGTCAACGGCCAACGAAACCCTAATTCGATGAAAAATCTTCCATGGTGCATTATCAAAACGGTCATCCGCCTTGACAAACTTCCCCAAGAAATTCCCAATCTGTTCTAATATTACGGCAGTCGCATACCCCTTCGGCAAACCATGGAGTTGTATCCATAAATCAACCGAATCAAGCTCAACATCATACGGGGACATTCCATCCGCGAACTGCTTGCATACAAAAGTGCTATTATCAAACGACCAAGGACCATCATTTAGAACACGCTGCATATCAGAACACACTGGTATATCGTTTATGTAGTATGGTACACTCTTGATACTATACCCATAGACATAAATGAAGATTCATCCTGTAACATTTCCCAAGACGACAATGATCTTGCTGAGCTACTTATAATGTCAAAACTTATCATTTGGATGAAGTGTGTCAATGATACATAAACATTGCTTGCTTTTAGGCATTGAATCGAACTATGAAGGATCTGTTACGATTTATGAATCCTTTGAGTTCAAGTATGACATTTGGGGGAAAATAGTGGTTATTGGTGGTGATTTTTGATAAATACTACATGTGATTCTCACGGGAAAAAGACAAGACATTGTTGGGCAATTATAAACTCTTCATATATTTGGAATAGTTGTAAAGTGTTAAGATTGTCTAAATAATTAAGATTACAAAGAGTAGGGAATGTTGATACCTTTGAAGAAATATATGCTTTTTCAAAAAGAATTGATGATGTATATAGGTGATTAAGACATGGGGCACTAATATCCTATGGAATCCTCCCGAAGAGATCATTCTGATGCTTAATCGCGATGCTAATGGCGTAGCTGTGAGAAGATTTTACTAAACTCTCGGGGCCTTTGGCCCTTTTCTCTACCAAAAAAAAATGATGGTTTTACAAATATAGAAATCTCGAAAGACAATTTAATACAACCCCAAGATTATCCAATTGCAACAATAGTTAATAGTATATTCCCTATTTTTTTTCCTGATACTTGTGATTTAGAATATTTAAATGGCTGTGCAATTTCAACACCAACATATATTGGATGTACTTGATGAGATCAATGAGTATATGAGTAGCTTGAATCCAACTGAGGGTATAATGTATTTTAGCTCTAGATCTGATTTTGTTTGTTAATCGGATTCTGGTTCAGATGCATTAGCCCAATTGCACACCCACAAAGTTTTTGAATAGGTTAAAATGCTCGGGGATTCCAAATTATTATCTTGCTTTAAATGTGGGGTCTTCAATCAGGCTTTCATGGAACATTGGTTATTCATTGTGTTTGTGTAATGACACGAGATTGGTTATTAGTAAATTAGGAAATCATGTTATTGAATCAAAGATTATGTCAAGAAATAATTTGGGTACTCGAATTTTGATCTCGAGATTGACATTGACTCCATCAGATCCTCAGTTGACATTTAAGTTCCAAAAGGACAATTCCATCTAATGTTATCTTATGCAATAACAATAAACAAGAGTCAAGGTGTCTTTCAAATGTTGATTATTATTGACTTTCAAATGTTGGATTACTATTGAAGAAACTTGTTTTTATACACGAACAACTGTATGTAGCTCTATCTAGGGTTATCAATCTTAAAGTTATTATTTTAAGCCAAAATGAAAAGTACTCTTATTCAAAGACAAATATTGCGTATAAGGAAGTTTTTAACAATTTGTAAAGTTTAGTATTGATGTTTAGGCTTTTAAAATCTAAGCCGAAAAGGAGTGTAGTTTAAAACTGCAAAGTTGAGCAATTAGGTTAAAACTCTGATTTGATCTTAAATTTGTAAAGCGCAGCACACAGTGATGTTAAAACTGACGTTGTAACACAAACAATCTGTAACGCAGTTCGGGCAAACAACCCTAATAATCTAATATGCAAGGCACTTCTCAATTTGAGAACTTGTCTAAATCCACTAAAAGCTCAATATTTAAAGTACACTGTTTGGAACTTGAGATTAGAATGATCTTTCCTACCAAACTATTGAAAGCTAAAACAAATGTACTACTTTCTAGGGGAATTTAGTATCTCAAAGACTCTCGTACCTCACAAGATTAATGTTGAATGCTTGATCTCTGTGATAAAGGACAATCCTTATTTATAGTAGCTACTTCTAATAGATTTGTGAATAATAATGTTATTCCTAATCAAACTAAACTAGAAGATCTTCAATAACAATTCTTCTTAGAACTACTAGTATTCTTTAATATCTATTTCTTTTAGGACAGTATTCCTTCATAGAACTGGAATCCTTTTTGCATATAACTCTGACAAGGTCTTTGAGTCAACATGATCTTTCGGCAAAAAGCAAAAAAAATTTGCAGCTTAATTCCACCGCTGACCGGTAAGAATGGCGGATTGTGAGGGGGGCAAAATGGCGGCTCTAATTCCGTGTGGGCAGAGAGCATTACAGTGGAATGCTAATCATGAATCCAACAACTTATTGTGCGACGAATTGGTGTGCGAGATACTTGTAAGACTACCCACAACAGCAGCCGTTCGATTCCAATCGGTTTGCAAGCTCTGGTATTCTCTCATCTCTTCTCCTTACTTTATTGCCCGCTTCCGTCACCATCATAACCATACAGATAATGATGATGTTCAACCAAGCAGCCTTGTTTTCCGATACGCATATCCTTGTAACTGCACCCAGTGCTGCAACCAATGCCATTCTCGCTTCCGAATCGTCTCTAACTCTTCTTTATTACGAAAGGTGTACGGAGATGAGGGTGTATTCTGTTTAAGTTATCTCCCATGTTCCCCTACACAGCTTCGATTGGAAGCCTCCTTTGCTGACTTAATCTTATGCTCTCGCCTTAGTTTCTTTACCAACAAAATCAATTATTATGTCTCCAATGCGCTCACCAGACAATGGATTGCTCTCCCTCCAGCTGCCTATCATGATGAGGCCGTCTCAATTGGGTTTTTATGTGTGGAGGATACTTCTTATCATAACAAGTTCATGGTGGTCAGGCTTCGTACGTTCTGTAGTGTTCATTGTACACCTTATTCCGGGTTTAAAGCCCAAGTCTTTTCTTCAGAGAACTGGCAATGGAGGACTTTGGTTGTTTCATCCCCTCTGAGCTTGAAGAGCCACGGAGAGAAAGCTCCTCTTGTCGCCTATAGAGGGATGCTGCATTGGCTAAACGGTGATTGTATCGTGGTGTATGATCCACTTAATACCCCGGAAAGATTCTTTCGTGTCATTGATCTTCCAATTCAAATATCCTTCAATATTTTTTACAGAAATAGTTGCTTTGGAGTAAGCCAAGGTTGTCTTCGTGTAATGAAAGTTTCGGATGAATTTACAATAGAAGTATGGGATCTGGAGGACTATGAGTCTGGGTTGTGGAATTTGGTTCACAAGGTTCACCTTACAAATCTGATCCATAATGAGTTATTTGAAAGTTTGCAGAGTGAATTGCCTTGTTTCCAAGGACTAAGTCTTCATCCTGAAAATGGGGATGTTATTTATTTACGGTTATTTAATGGGGTAGTTCTTGTCAACATGAAAAGCAAAATAATAGAGCAATTCTACCCAATAAATGAGGGGGCATTGTTTTGTTGGAGGGATGCCTTTCACCTTGTTGACCAGCCGTGGCCAACACCAGTATCGTTATTGCGGCACTAAACATATGGCAGGCTATGTATTTCTTATTTTTCTTGCTTCTTCCTTTCCAATTCAATAGTAGAAACAAACTTCTTTGTTGGTAATTAATAACTGTTTATTTCTTATCATCTTATTGCATGGCATGCATGGTTGGTTGTTTAATATATAACACTTGAAACAAACTTCCTTGGCGGTAATGTTTTTATGATAGGTTTCGTAGAGCAACTACATCAGTGATTTTTGCTCAAATTTTGAGACAAAATCATTGGACTAGTGTAAGAGGTGTTTTTTTTGAAGTTTTTACTTCTACAACATCTCAGTTTTTGTTTTTCTTTCGCTTTTCTCTTTCATTCTCCCCCTCTTTCTTATATGGTATGACAAAAACTAAATAAAATTCACAACTGATGTGGTTGCTTTTAGACATTACTTTGGTTCTGACAGGACTGTTGTTGGGTATAGTATACACGTGGGATATGTATGTTTAAACATACATGTATGTATATGGAATGGTAAATAGCAGACATTGAAACAATTAGGAGGTTAGGTTCGGAACTCAGTTTACAACTTGAAATTTGCTGCTAACTTTTTGTTTTAGCTATGAGTTATTTTGTATACGTTTTATCATATTAAAGTTATCCAATGCATTCATTTGGTTTTAATTGTGACATCTTTATTGGTATTCAAAGCCTGGATACCTCTACACATTCACACATACAATAAACTTTAGATTTACTTAATATCAGATTTAATTTCTAAGTAAAGGGGTGGGGTTAGATGGATGGGGTGTATTGAATAAGTATAGTCTAGTTATATATACTTTACAAATAATAAATCTCATGTGCAGTAGAAATGAGTTTAAAATATACATGTATAAATAATCAACATTTAATCAGTTTTACATGTTCAAATAATGAATTCTATGCACACAAATAGTAAACATTTTGTATGTCAATAATAAAGTCTCAAGTTGTTTTCATATTATTTTGTACACACTCAAATAATGATCATTATATATAAAAATAATGTATCCTATACATATAAAAATAATGTATCCTATAAATTTGTAACAATTGTGCAAGCTATGGTCCACCAAACAAGCATTGTTTCCGGCAAATTATATTGTGGATCATGGTCTACATTGTAATGTAGATCATGAATAAATGTTGGCAGAAATGTCATATAGGTGGGATCATGAGTAAATGTTGGCACATTATACCTCATAACGTGAACTTCCTTAGCTTCTATTTCAATCAGATTGTGGCTGCAACCAGTAAACGCAAGCATGTTATTTTTGTATCTACACTCAAAGGAGGTCGGTTAATTAAGTTACAGCAATATACAGATTGTCGTTATCCCTTAGTCTATTAACCAAGTTTTTTCTAAGCTCCTCAATCTCAGGTATGTATCGAAGAACCTCATAAACACATCATCCAAAACCAAAATGAAAACCAATGCCAATGTCAATGCCAATAAATGGGTTCAAAAACCACAAAAGCGGTAACATACTTATTTCACAGTCGATGGAAAAATAGATTCACTGTTTTCTAGAAAATTCGTAGAAGAAATTAACATAATCTGGAAATACGTAAAAAAAATTGAATTTTTCGTCGAAAAAAGTGACTAAACCAGCAAGTTAGATGAAAAAAATAACATGCTAGCAGTTTATTTTTATTTTATTTGTCAATGTAAGCAAATTAGATGGGTTACTTGTAAGAAACTTGCTCAAAATGCTAGATGAAAAATAATTGGGAGTATAATAGCTAAGATAGACCATATTTTAATTCATGGTGCTAGATGAACAATCAATGTTAGTACATGGGCATATTTGACCCTTCTGCCATAAATGTTTAATTTTAATTTATTAAATATTCATTTTAATGTATTAAAAATAAAGTTGAATATTTAGGATATATAATTTCTGAAGAAGGATTACAATTGCAAGAACATAGACAATAAAAATCGCGAATTGTCGCGAAATAGCATAATTTCATCGCGAATCAGGTTTTGCGACGGAATCTGTTCTGTCGTCTATTGGCTTGTCGTATTTTTGTACGTGACGAAATAATTCCGTCGCAAAATATTGCGACGGAATAAGGCATCGCAATTTGCGATGGAACTTTTTTCGTCGCACTTTTGCAACGGATATTATTCTGACGCTAATTCTGTCGCCATTTTGGAAATGAATATTTTGGCGCCATATTTTGTTTTTTCCATAGCTATTCCGTCGCATTTTGGCAACTGAATTGTTTTTTGTCGCATTTTGGCAACGGAATTATTTTCCCTATTCCTTCTTACCAAATAATGTAATTTAAATTCCCACCGAATTACAATTCTTTTCCCTCCTCCATCCCTCCAACCAAACGCCCCGTTAGTGCAACAAATATTTCGTCGCAAAACTTATATTCTGGCGTGATTCCGTTGTCTTTTTAAATTATTTTTTTAACAAATTATTTATAATTATTTTTTTTAAATAGTAATATGAACTTTTAAAATATTAATATAAAGAGTAAATTCCGTTTTTGGTCCTACTCTTATAGGGATAATTCTAATTTTATTCCACCATTATTTGCCTTGCGACATTATGACCACTGTTATTATAAGTGTTTTACTTTTAGTCCACCATTAACATTTCTGTCAGTTAACCGTGTAATTCAGGAGTATTTCCGTCATTCTATAGTTAAGCTTCCCCTTTACCATTTTCACTGGTTTTCCTTTCCCTTTCCCAACCAAATTGTATAGATTATAAATGGATATATATTTGAAACCTAATTCAAACCCCTCTTCTCCACCCTCATTTGTCTTTATACCAAAAACGCCATCTTTTAAATCCCAGTAAATCTATGGGTTCTCTTTCTGATGATCAAGAACAACTTCACAGATAACCAACCTACGTAGAGGTAAAAAAAAAATAATAATAATAATAATAATAAGCAGAATACCATTATGTAGCTAAAAGATCAAGGAGTCCTTATGTAGCTAATAATATTCCCAGTTAAATTTCGGACGAATTTTTCTACCCATAGAAAATGATAGGTCAATTGAAAAGAACAAGAAATATAACACTACTGGAAATTATGGAATTTCCGACCACCTGAAAATGATCTTAAATCAAGTCGAAAGCCTTGTTCCGACCACTTTTGATATCCGGAAAAACCTTTGTTGCTATTTCCGACCACTTTTTGGTTTCAACTTGATTTAAGATCACTTTCAGGTGGTCAGAAATTTCATAATTTCCAGTAGTGTAAGCAGAAAGAGGAGTAGTTCGTCGGCCTGATCCCAGTAAATTCAAACATGAGGCAAGAAAAACAAGAATAGATTCCTATAAATTTCTATAATTATATTGGTTGAGACTTGAGAGTTTCTAGGGTAATGAGAAGAGTATGAGTTGTATCAACCATCAAGAACAATTAACCTACTTCAAGTCTTCAACGTACAAAGCTCAAGTTGGCATGCACGCACCAACCGAAGATTAGATGTTGTGAAGATTGTAATTGGTTGTAGTGGCCGATTGCCTTGTGTACAAACCCCATATAAAATCTTGGTGAACAATCTTGTGAATTGGACTGACGTGACGTAGGAAAAGTGCTTCGAACTGCGTGAAGAATTCCTGTGTACTTGGTTTTATTTCTTGTCTTTATTTTGTTATTTAATTTCTCAAAATGACTTAATTAATTGGTACGGTATTTCTTAATCTAAAATCAAGTAGAACTATTAGAAGTAACTTGCATTCAAGATTCACGGCAATTTTTCAAATACATTTACATAAAACCTTACCTTCAATTTCTTCTTCAATCGTCTCAAGTGCATGTATTTGTTTTGACGTATCCCTCTCTTTTGTTTTCTTCTTGTATTTCTCTTTGTTTTTCCTTTACCGTTCTTTTTACGTCTAAAACAGCCGCAGCAGCAACATAATTTCGACCAACAATTGCAAGTTTTACTGGGCCATAGAGGCCGGAGACGATTGCTTTTTTTTTTTTTTTTTTTTTTTAAATTTATTTTTAGTTTATTTTAATTAATTATTATTTTTTAAATAGTTTAAATTAGGTGACCGGTAAGAAATGGAAAAAACCTGTAAATTGGACAAAATGCTTGAAATGGATTAGTTTAAAGACTCAATTGTAACTTTTTTAGTTTAATGGTCTAATTGTATTATTATGTGCAGTTCGATTACCTATTTGACCCTTATGCCTACTATATAATATACAAGAACGAAGCTTTTGTGATTTCTTTCATCTCCTAAAAAGATTTTATTTTTATTTTAAATAAGAATTTTCTTTTTCCATCCAAAGAAAACCATAATTGAATTAAATGTATAGATTTTTAAGGCTATCACTAGACATAAGATATTTTTATATTTAACGACATGAAGATATTAGACACCGGCCGGCTTTGGGTTTCTGGTTCATTCTCAATTTCCGTGTTTATGTTTCAAATTTGAACACGACTAGCTTCTTCAGTGACCCCCCTCAACTAACTTAAGACGTTTGGTCCAACCTTGTCTACGTTCATGTGTTACCCGCCACAATTTTTAGTATCACAAATGTTGACTCATAGTGTTTTGTCAAAGTTGTGCAAAAAGAATTCCAGTTCTATAAAGAATATCAGTCATAAGAGGAATAGCTAATTAATGAAGAATACTAGTTCTAAAGGGAATTGTTATTGAAGTTTTTCTAGTTCTAGTTTGATTAATAATAGCTTTGTTATTCACGAATATGTTAGGAGTAGTTACTATAAATAGGGATTGCCCTTTATTGTAGAACTCAAGCATTCAACATTAATCTTGTGAGGTACGAGAGTCTTTGAGAATAGGATACTAAATTCCCCTAGAAAGTAGTACATGTGTTTAGGTTCCAAACAGTGTAATCTCAGGTGGTACGAGAGTCTTTGGTAGGAAAGATCATTCTATTGTGTAATCTCAGGTTCCAAACAGTGTACTTTAAATATTGAGCTTTTAGTGGATTTAGACAAGTTCTCAAATTGAGAAGTGCCTCACAGATTAGGGTTGTTTGCCCGAACTGCGT